CGGAGAATAAAAAAACGAATCAAGGTCACAGTCAGTGTTGTGGATCTGGGGGGGGCATACCCTTGGGGGGAGGTCCAGACCCGTCTTTCCCCCTCTACTACTGTCTATGCTTTTCTCCATATTTTCACATAAGAATTTAAGCCCTCTTGCTCAACCCATCACAGAAAAACTGTTAATGTATGGTACCAAGAAAAAACTGTGTACTTTAACTTTCAGATAAGTCTCTGCATGATAAGACCGTAGCGTGCCTGGCCCGTGCTCAACCATTAACGCACAGATTTGTCGACAGACTGAAACCGTGCTGGATAAAGTCTTCAGACAAACCTCTGTATGTATGGCGGGCTAAAATATCAAACACGTTAGAAATCCAAGCTCGCGCTACTTTTGATCAAGTATGTCAATATTTATCTCCATAAACACACATTTTTGGTATGTACGTCAAAGACTCTCATCAAAGTATTGCCATTTAATATTTTCGTTAATGGACAACAGTGTTCTTGGCTCGCCACAGACTTGGCTTGCATGCTTTGCATGGACCATGCTAAAACCTTCTCTAAGTCGCTATCGCTATGTGTGTGGCCGGCTAATTTCGATTTTGACTCCCACCTCCTTCATGGGATTGACGTCACAATTTTCCTGGATGGTGTCGAAGTGCGCCAGTTTCCGTTTTGCTGTTACTACTGAAGAGTATGAGAACGTTGGAATTTTGCTAAAATAAAGTTTTGTTTTTTTTTTAATTACTTTTAGCTTTTACTTTCAACCTAGTTTTTCCATCTTTATTTCAAACATATGCAGCGTTATGAATAAATCAAATAGAAAGAAAATGGATTATATGTATTAGTTCAAATCTAGTGCTATTTCTCTCCAGTGACATCACAAACGTGACGCCCAAAATCTTTAACATTTCGTAACCCAGAACCCAGAGTTAATCTGTGGCTATATAAGTACTCTGGGTTCTAGTCGTAAGATATAACTTCTCTCCGGTAAGGTTAAGGGGACCCCCATACAAACATTACAGACAATAAAACCACGACAAACTAACAGACAACAAGAGTGAAAGCACCTAAAGGCTGTCTTTTGACCGCAGGAGGTCAGATGTCAATTTTGCTGAAATGCTCATCAGAAAGTTGAGGTCCACCCAGAAATGAGAGGCTATATGAATAGACGAGATTTTAGAGAGTCCGTACACGAGCCACATTTTGCGGTCGGATCGACCACACAATTACAGTCGCGTTCCAGCGAACTCAAGCCGCCCATAAGAAATACTTTACTACACGTACACGGGCGTTCACAAACGTCAAAATGGGCGTCTGCAGCCAACTTGCTGCTAATCTCCGCCGAAATGTCAACGCGGCATCCGCCGTACACTAACCACAAACTTGCAGTCGTACCCAACTGCGTACACCGTCGTGTACTTTTTCTCATATTGGTCTCACAGCGTTCAATTTCTGATTTCAAAATTCTAATAAATTCATCAAAATAACTAATGGACATTCTGAAGTAATTAAAAAAAATGTTTTTCATCTTGCCGGAGTTTATCGAATATAAAATATAAAAATTTCCTTCCTGTTGTCGCGCAGCCAGAAGTTGATGTACCCAAAGCGATCATACTTTTACACGTCTTTTCCTTCTCCTCAAAATAAGAAGTAGTAGTGCTTCTTCGAAATCCATTTTGAAAGTGGCACTAAACTCTGACACCACAAAATATAGATGTCAGTTGCCTCTACTGCAAGTGCGGTTTATATGACCGCAAGTCGACCACAAAAATGTTGTTGGGTCAACCGCGAAGTGCAGTCAACGTGGCCACAATGTTGTGGTTGCCTCAACTGCAAATATGTGGTCCGTGTACGGCCGGGCTTAGCGTCTGCACACAGCAGTGTTGCTAACCTATAAATTCGAAAGTCGGTAGAATAAATCCTGGAAAATAAGTAGATATCGGTAGATTTGAAAATAGAGATATAAACTAAACAGACATCAATTGTCAAAAAAACATTTTATTCATTAAAAACCGTACAAAAGTAGAATAAAACAATTGGAAATAAGTCAGATATGGCAAGTAGGTATCAAATCTAATTTCCAGTTGATGAAGATGAACTATACAAATTTGGCTTGTTCATATAAGACATTATTTTTTTTATTTAATTTTCTTCGGCTCATTACTTTTTCACTGCTTGATGAACTAGACATGTTTAATTAAGGAATAAAAAGACAAAACTATACTTTTCCAACCTGTAGAAATGTACTTATACTATCTGAGTGGGGTATTCCCATAGTGACATACATATCCTTTCAGTACTTTCCCGGTGCAGAAAGTTTAGGGGACTCCCGTATAGGAAGATTGATGCTTTATTGATATCGGTTTCTAAAAGTGCTGTTTTCTGCAGTATGTGTTGCATACATTTTCAACACTTGAAACGTATTATCGACATTGATTTGAACATGAAGTATCTGAATATATTTATACATTTTGAAATAACATCCCCAAAAATCGGTAGATGATATCGCAAATCGTTGGATTACTTACCAAATCGGCAGAACTACCGATAAAGCGGTAGGGTTGGCATCACTGGCACAAAATAACCGTGTGAGCACCATTTAGTTAGAAGTAAACACATACGGTGGTGTGGGGAAGATTCTATCTCAGGGCCAGGGCACTCAACCCCAAACCCCAAGTGGGCATGGGGGGGGGTCGTAAGAAGAGTTCTATGATTCTTAATTACAATGCTTGTGTTCTGGGAAGTGGTCGTAATGTTTTATTTTATTTTCAAAAATTTTAATTTTGTTTTAGTGACATTCTTGTAAATTGGTTCTTTTCGTCATGTGAAAATAAAATGGATAATAAAATTTGTCGGTTCTGTCTACTAGAAGAAAATAATAGTACAGATGACATTCTAGAATGTTTTGATGATACAATACATTTTTTTACCCAAAATGTTTTGAAGATTTTGGGAATAGATGTGAGTTTTGTCATTTAATAAATATGTACTCCTTATAATAATTTCAAAAATTTTCAGATTTCTGCTGAAGACGTTTTTCCACGAATGATATGTAAAAGTTGTTCAGATTTCATTAAAAAAGTATTGAATTTTCTTAAGACCATTCAACAATCAGAACATGTTTTGTGTGAAATTGAAGAAACGAAAAATAGAAAACTGCTGAGAACTGATAAAAATATAAGCAACTCCGATGAAGCTTCAAAAACGTAAGACCACAAATTTAACTGTCAATACAAATTTTTGACTTAGAATATTTCAGGGAACTACCTGTTCATCAGAGTAACACCAGAATGGAAAATAATTTTGAAAATATTGATCAAAATCCATACGCTTTGATATTTTGTCATTCAAGTTCAGATAATGGTGAAATGAACAATGCTCCAATAAAACTAGTTAATGAATTATCTTTGCCAGATATTCATAAAAAGGAGTCTGTTTCATATTCTTGCCAAGAAAGTGATAAAGTTAAAATTTTCCAAACTGATTGTGAGATCTATTATTGTAGTATTTGTTCCACAGAGTTTACAAACTTTTGTGACTATGAAAACCATCAACAACTTCATGAAGTAAAATCTGCCACATGTTTGAAATGCAACAAGGTACATTTCTTTTACTTTAGGAGGATTGAAAGTTGTTCATTATTTAGTAATTGACTCATTTATTTATTTATTTACAGGCAAGCCCAATTGAAGTATAAATTACAATGTAGAATTATAATTAAAATAAAATCAGATAATATACTGAATTACAAATTGCAACTAAGAATAGTTTAAAAGGGGTAAATTTATAGTTTAAAAAGGGTTAATTTTAGAGTATAAACTGATGAAAAAATATTTAGCGACAATAAAACATACCACATATACTACCTTAAACTATACACTAAATCATTAAAGCACAGTATTTCGTAATTGAGTTTCAAAATGATGCAAGATGTTAAATATCTCAAGATCAACATTACTATTGGCTAATCGTAAGATTCTATTGAATGTGAGGTTCAAGCTATAAAATTGTACATATAAATGTTTGTTGCTGTTGAGTTGAGCGGTTATGAACATGCAGATAAATTCTTTCTAGGAGTTAAGCACAACTGAATTTGCCGTTAATATTATTGAAAAGTAGAGTCAGGTCTCTCTGTTTCCTCCTAGTTTCCAGGGAGGACATGCTCAGAGATTGCAGTAGCAACTCATACTAGCAACCAATACCCGATTTATATGCTATGTATCTGAGGAAGTTATGTTGGACATTTTCAATGTTCTTAATATATACATAATAGTTACATAATGAGGGAACCAGACAGAAGAACAATACTCCAGGTGTAGACGGACCAGTGAACAATTTAATTTCTGCACAATTTCAACCTGCTTAATTTACTACTTGTCATAAATTCTCACAATAGAGTGTGATGCTTTGTAATATTATTATAATCATAGAGAATGAACTACATAGCAATGCCATAGTGAATGTTTTCCACACAGTGTTTGAATGAATCAGCTCTCCCATGATGCATCTTTGAGCGTGGTTGAAAACACTGTGACAGAAGGAGGAAGAATGAACAGAAAGAATACCTTTAACTATCATATTGATCCCGAGTCCTATTTCAACAGTTTTTGTTTTTTATTTTGGGTCAGAAAATATTAATTTACAATTCCCAGTATCGTTCATTTTTTCATAAAGTATGTTTGAATTTTTGATATCTATCTATTATTCATGTGATGTTTTTGTCAACCAATCACAATTTTTTTTCTGAATTATTCGAACAAATAGAAACATTAATGAATATAATTCAAGCTTAGTACCTGGTAAAATTTAAAAAATGTGGTTTCTAACATATGAAGTTGCCACAGCTGTCTTTGCAGTATATGACTTGGGGTTGTAAACTAGCTTCTGTATGGACTAGTATATTTTAAAGAAAGCTTGTTTAGAAAGTTGATTAAGTCAACGAGAGAACAAATAATATTTCCTATATTAGGTATCTGTAGAAAAACTATTAGAGAGTATTTGCCAACAAAAATATCTTGAAAATAAATGTGAAATAAAACATAAAAATGATTTTGCGTATCCCATTCACATGAAGGCTCTGTTTGAGTGTAGCACCATATACCAAGCTATTAAAGCCTATAACAGAATCTCCCAAAATATATGCAACATTGATTTATAAGCAGACTTCTGAAGTCTTTGAAAGAATTCTTACTCGATCAGGAGCCGTACAGTATTGAGGAATTGTTTCAAGGTGTGTAAAGATGCAAAAGCTTCATTTAAATACATTTTTTTTATTTAAAAATTTTAGTGTGATGTATTTCAATTTATTAGCATCTACTTCTGTATATTTATTTTCTTAAGGTCTTTGTGCTGATTTTTGATATTCCTGAAATGTGTGTAGATTTGAGATTTTGTATTTTGTAAAATACTTTTACAAACAACGAAATTCCATTATCTTGAAATGTATGTAGATTTAAGATTTTGTGACATACTTTACAGACAACGTATTCTGCTACTGTTTTCATGTAGGACTACAAATACTCTGTGAAATAAATAAACATATCTATCTATGTAATATATGTATCAAGTGTAATTTTTTCTTGAGCTCGATTTACAGCAGGAAATACGCCTTCGTTCGTAAAATAAGGTTTGGTTGCAGTGCTGCATCCCTCCTTAAATTAACTGATATTAGAAACCTCTGTCTCACAACATTTTATTTGAGATTATCCTTTCCGTTAATCTCTCTTTTTTTTATATTTTTATCGACATTGATCCTTTCACTTGATGTCTCATGCATTTTTTGCTGACGGATCTGATCTTCTGATATTCCCGAGCATTCCACATACTTTTTGTTATTCATGTTTTTATTCTTCAGTAAACAAATTTTTTCTTTTAAGAGGAGTTTATTTTCTAATAATATAGTATATTTTCAACTTTTTCTTGAATGATATACTTCTGAAGATTAATTTCTTCCGTCATATGTCTGATGATTTCAGCACTAATTAATTTGGAATATATTGGTTCTAAAGATTTTGAGCTTGAGGTACCTTATCACTATTTTCACAACAAATAATAAGTGTTTCATATATCGTTATATAGTTTTTGACGCGTTCCAAACAACTTCTACGGAAAACATTTCCACAATGCAAACTGCAACTTCAAATCTTTGATGTTTCGGACACATCTTCATATAACTTTTCGCCGGCAGCCATGTTGAATATCTCATAACTTTTTCATAATATATAGGTATACCTAAAGTCTATAGGTCTTTTGTCCAAATGTTTTGTTTGTTATTTTTAAAAGGATGCACAATATTACAAATAATTTTTTTTTTAATTTTCAATTTTCCACAGATCTGAAATAACTTTTTCAGAAAAAATTAACTTTGGTCTGGGGAACTTTGGAAACTCAAAAAATAATTGTCTTCGTGAATATAGATATTTTTCAAAATTTTTTGTGTAAATAATACTGTCTGTCTCCCTGTTACCGTCAACGGTCTTTTGAAGGCTTAACCAATGACTTGTAACTGGTTCGATATTGGCAAACTAACAAATTCTTGAACTTGTTAATAACAGTCAAAATTAAAGGGCCAGCGTGGCAAAAAAATTTTGAAAAATACTTTGATTTCACTCAGTAACTCATCGAGGTGAACTAAAAATTTTGCCCTTTCTACGCCTGCATAAAGTCATCCATCACAATTTTCAATATTTTTTTCAGAATGTACAAGGTGAAAAAACTCAAAAAAGGTCATCTCTATTTCCTCTACAAAAAATGACTTTCGTTCAATATAATATTTATTTTAAAAGATGCACTCTTCCCATTCACCAGAAATGTAATACTCTTCTCGACACGCGTTTCACCAACAAAGTTGGCATCTTCAGAAGATGATGAAAAAACTGAAACATTTTTGTGATTGGGGAAAGTGTTTGTTTTTGGATTTTGTAATATTTTTTGTTACAGGTTTTCCTGAATAGAGACGAATTAGCAGAACATGAAAAAACTCATAAAGTGGCCTGTGGTGAATGTAACATTAAAGTTTTACCGAGCAGTTTAGAAGCACATATGAAAAAACATTCAGATATTCACAAGTAGGTTTCAAATATTCATTCAGGTATCAAGATGGAGAAGTAGAAACCCAAAACTTTTCTTTTCCTAAAATCAGTTGTTCTTGAATATGTTTGAACTACTCAATACTTACAACATTCTAGTTGTTACATTACAAGAAGGAATTTTAGTCAACCATCCATAAATTATTTTTCAGAATTGATTGAACAAATAAAGACATTAGTAAATATGATTTCAAACTCAGTACCTATAGGTAATAATAGTAAAAAGATGTGACATTTAATACATGAAGATACCACAGATGTCTTTGCAGTATATTACTTGGGCTGTAAACTAGCTTCTGTAGGGACAAAAATATCTTGAAAGTATATTCTTTACTTTTAGGAAAAATGAGAAATGAAACTTTGTTTTTTACCACTTGTATTCGTCCTATAAATAAATAAACAAATCAATAAACTTTTGAAACGTTTGAAAATGTACTGCAGTAACGTTAGTTATGAATACAAGTAGTTAAAAAACATGGGATCTCCTATCACATAGTTACAGCTACATCCATCAATTGATTCTTAAATTTTATCTTCATTGTATCATAATTAACAACAGAATTTAAATTCTTCATCACTAAACAAAAAAATATGGGAAACTTCCGAAGAAAATACGAAAAAACTACAATTGCAACTCTTCACGAAAATAGATAGATAGATAGATATTTATTTAATCTCTTATGGTTGCTTTACAACATGATATAAGTCACAGTACATAAAGAGAGAGAAAATTCTCATTGGATATAAACATTAAGAAAAAAACATCACAAACATTCTAGTCGTTACAAATTGATTAAGAATAATAAGAATGAAATGAAATATTTAAATATAAACACATGTTAAAATACATTGAAACAAAACTGCCTAGTCACTACGTTTTTTATACTCGTCTAATGAATAAAAGGCATGGCGGATGAGAAACTTTTTCAATGATAGGTAGTTTGAAATGTTTCATATTGGTAATGAGTTTCAAGTCTTCAGGCAAAAGATTGAACAAATGTGCTCCAGCATATAGAGTGCTCTTTATATATTGCTTTCTTTGCAAGTGGTGCAAATGGAAGTCATTCTTCTGTCTGGTATCATATTCATGGTAGTCACTGTTTTTATTCATATTTTTAGCATTCTGATGGGTATATATTAATATGTAGTGCATACACAGAAGTCTATTACAGCAACAACCTGGAACAAAAATCCTTTCGAAACAAATACTTCGACACAAACATTGAATTACACACAAGAAAAAAATTCTTTGCAAACAACTTTTTTTATATGAACATTGAATTACACCAAAACGACCTTTTCCCATTCAGTTTTTTCTACAAATAATCGTAATGGAATTGAAAGAAATATTCACATCCTTAAATATTTGGAAGACTTTAACATATTGAGCGATCATCAATATAGCTTTTGGAAACAAAGATCAACAGGCAACCTTCTATTCTATGCACCCATATTTGGAATAACGCAATCGAGAAACATGGGGAGTCAAGAGCTGTTGCGCTTGATATTTTTAAGGCTTTTGACCGTGTGTGGCATGAGGGTTTGTTGGCCAAACTTCGATGCTATGGCTTGTTGGATCATTTTTGTGTATGGCTCTTCATCTCCCTGAAAAAACTTTTACTGCAAGTGATCGTTGATGGATATTTCTAGAATACTTTCACCATCAACGCTGGTGTTCCCCAGGGATCCATATTGTCTCCAACCCTTTTTTTATTGTATATCAATGACTTATAAAAACTAAGAATTCAATATATTTCTTTGCTGACGACAGCACCCTTTGCCATTTGGATTCCAGGACATCGGCTGTGGATGCACATCTTCACCGGCAGCAGAAGTTTGCGTATCTAAATGAGGATCTAGAAATTATTTCGAATTGGGGTAAAAGTAACCAGGTTCAATTCAATGCCAGGAAAAGACAGGCATATGCAAAGGCTGCTTCTCAAAACTGTTCCGAACCAGAAAACTGTACGCATCTCAACAACTTTTGATGCTCTATAAAGCTCAGATCAGGCATCGAAGAAAAGTTGGAGATTCAAACTCACATTTATCCGAAAAACAATTTTTATACAAGAAATTCTGATGCAAGTTGATCTGTTCAGTGAGACTTTCACAAAACTCGATACGCTTATCGAAATCATCTACGTTCAATTCATGATCTAGTCTAATCTTAGGATCCTGAAAACATTTGTACGACTGATTCCTGCTTCTCGAGATAACTTAGTAAGAGACTGCGAATTTTCCATTAGTCCAAAGTGCCCTAAAACTGCAGTACAAATAGCTTCATCTTTGACAACTCCTGAACGGTTATGCTTTTTATTGTTAACAGATCCAGTTTCCATAAATTTGTTCAATAATACCGAAACGTATTTGTGTCGTACATTTCTTCCTGGATGATTATCTTTGAACATACGGGCAGCAGCTCTAGCACTATTTCAATTCTGGTAGTACAAACTTACTATTTCAATCCGTTCTCGAAATGTATAAACCATTGCTTCTCAAGATTTCACAAAAACAGAAACACCAATTATAACTTCACCTGGCAGGTAATCGTTATTGAAGAATGAGACAAATACAAAATGAAGAGAATATCGAATTCAAACTTAACGAGGCAAAACTCAGTTTTGATCTTCCGTATTTAATATTCTCATTATTAAATTTAACTGGATCTTCTGAATCAATTGATATAGACCTTTTTGATATGAACATATATGAAGATTTCTGAAAAGTCAGTGTCATTTTATGGCATTGGATCTTTAAAGATATTTGATCAGTGTTTTGAAATATTAATTTTGATTTCTTGTACACTATTTCCATTGTAAATGAAAATGGTGTCATCAGCAAACATTTGTATTTCACCAAATAAATTTACTGTAGCCAAAGAATTGAAATATATAAGAAACAAAATCGGTCCAAGTATTGGTCTTTGCGGTACTCCACTTTTTTTAAACTAATTATGTCGCCAATATAGATATAGTGCTTCCTATTCATTGAATAATTCTGAAAGCAATTTTAAACTAAACCTCTGATACCTATATTATGTATTATTTTCAGAAGAATTTTATGGTCCACAGTATCAAATGCTTTCTTCAGGTCTAATGAAAGAACTCCACATCTTTTATTTGAATCAAAATCAAGCTGTAATTGGGTTATGGCATCTAATACTGCAGACTCTGTGTCACTATTTTTCAAAATCCATATTGCCCATCATGTAATAATTTTGTCTTTTGAAGATATTCAAACAATCGAGAATACACTGATTTCTCAATAATTTTAGATAAAACTGGTAAAACTGCAATTGGTCTATAATTCTTCATTTGTTCTATTTTATCTGCTTTAAATAATGGTTTGGCAATTTTAGCATTATTATTAGGTACCACACCTGTTGAAAATGAAATATTTATCAAATATACTTATCCGTGGTTATTCCATAGAATCCTGGCGCTTTTCTCGAATCGAACATACTAATTATTTTTTCTGGTTCGATAGGCTTTTGAGATACATAGTAGTGATGGGTGTAATCAAATGATGAGTACTCGAGTGATCCCAAAAATCGAAATATCATTCGAATGAAATCACTCGGATTCTACGTCACTCATCACTCACCGATTTAATTCGAGATCCGGCGATGCGAGCAATAAGCACGCAATCACTCGATGCTCATGAGGTCGTGTGCCATGTGAAACTCCCACAATAATGGCGAAATTCGGAATGAACTGGATTATTTTATGAGTTAGGATTGTTTGAATTTGTCGCACTAAGAATACAAACAGAGAGCATTGAAATTGAAACAGTGGCAATAATTTTTCAGTTTGGAGGATTCGAAGCCGTTGTAACGAAATTTCTGTTATTACTCATAAATTCCATTATTTTTTCTACTCCTACTTATTGTGAAGTTGATAGCTTTATTCCGTTATTACTACTGTTTTGATATTGAACGATGCAGCCTGGAGCTAAGAAATCTATTGTTTGGAAACATTTTGACAAAAAAAGAAAATGGTCAAGTTCAGTGTCGAATTTGCAAGTTTTTTGGTACCTCTAACACTACCAATTTAAACCAAATTATAACTGATTTTAATTTTTGTGAGGAATTTTATTTTTTGTTATGTTTTCAATGGCATAAATTAAATTTCAATAAATGTCATCGTCAACAAATTTCTGAACATTCTCAGCCCAAACCTGTATTTCACCACATCCTACAAACAAGTGTCGGTATATAGGCCGGCACTGCACTGGTACGTAGCGGCGCAAGAATTTTATACTGTTTTCGACTATTTCACTCACTACTGATTTTATTGGATACATTCAACATTCGAATGATTCCATTTGACATCTCGAGATATCTCGAGTGATTGCAATAATCGAATAACCGATTATTTTTAATTCGAATGATCCCATCACTGATGGATAATTCTGATTAAACTGCTGGACTATCTTGAGTAGGAATAGGATACAGTTTATTTGAGTAACGGGACAGATAAAGATTCTTCGTTTATTAGATATTGTAGTCAATAAGCGTGTTGTGCTGTATAAGATACACTATTTTTTATTATCCAAGCTTTTGGAATAATCTATTCCTTATTCAAAAATATCTACACAGTGAAGAATTGCAAAACATTAAAATGAAAATGAAATGAATGAAATATGACAAAAATGTCTAAGGAAAATAATATAATGTTGAATATTTTGTTGCATCTGAGGAAACGGATATGTGGTATTGAAATGTTTAAATTTGTTACTCAAAAATTGTAATGTAATTGTAAATTTTGCAGAGTTTTTATATATTCTAGATTTTTTGTTCAAATCATTCTAACTTTTACTTATATAAAACATTTCTAAAAATATTTCAGTTTTATTAGTTTCAGCAGCCAACATTTTCGTATTGTCATAATACATAACATGACCTTCCAAGATAACATGCTCAGCTAAACCACAGGAAATAGTAACATCTGAAGATTTCTTTTTCTATAGTAACTTGTTCAGGAAACTTGCGTTGAATGAAAATGCTCTAGTTTTGGTATGGGAAAAGTGTTTTCATTAAACTTAATACTATAAATGATTTTCAAATATTCTCTTGAAATCCATACATATTGTTTAAATTGACTTAATCTTTGTGATATTTTTTAGATGTATCACTTGTGATGCACGTCATACATCAAAGGCAGCTATGGAGAAACATTACCAAGCTCGTCATGCAGGCATCAAAGGAAGCGTTTGCCATATATGTGGAAAGCAAAACAGTTGTCAGAGCTCAATGAAACGTCATCTAGCCTCCCATTTTGCACACAGACCTTTCATGTGTAAATTTTGCACATTTTCGGCCAAATCAAGAACTGTTTTACAGGTGCACATTTCTAGAAAACATTCCAATCAACAGTGTGATTGTGAAATTTGTTTGAAAAAGTTCAAATCAGTTCTGAGTCTGAAGCAGCACATTAAGCGAATGCATAACCCCAAAAAATATCAGTGCATGATTTGTGAAAAAGCTTTCAGTGAAAAATTCAATTTAGACCAACACATTTTCAAAAAACATTCCAAACAAAGATTATATGAATGTAAACTTTGCCATAAAGAGTTTTTTACAGTTAAAAAGCTGAAAGATCATATGCACTCTCATAGAGAAGGTTGTGTGAGTTGTCCAAAGTGTGCCAAAGAATTCTTTTACAAAAAATATTTAGACAAGCATTTGCTCAAATGTTCTGTTGATGATGAAAGTGTTTTAACTAAACTAAAAAATACCTCTTCGATGCCTAACAACACTTGTGATTGTAATGAGTAGAAAGTGACTGTTTTTTATTGCTGATCCTGTGAAACTAGACCATGACATCATTATGAAATATATTTCCTCTAAACTGATCATCTTTCTTACTAAATAAAATTCGAAATTCAATAACTGATTACTTGACTAAAATCACACATTTTTATTGAAACAATGTTGGAATTTAAGTTACTGACTGGATATGAAGGTTTTAAGAGACATGGGGAATATGGGTGATACTAGTGTTTTTTTTGTGAACTGCGTTTGACGATGCAACAGTATTTTATGTTTTCTGAAAAACTGTTTCATTCTATCCCATTCTATTCTATCTTTAGCTAATTCCTCAGTGTTTTACAACCTGAAAGTTGTAAATGATAGAAATCAATGGAAAGTTCTAAGGCTCGCCCAGAAGACCACCACTGTGCATTGGAATAAACAAGTTTTCAGAAAAGAAATATATTGTTTATCAATGAATCAATAATCAGTGACACTAATATTAATAAGTATTCAACAATTTTTTTGATATTTTATCGATTCTATGTGACTTCTTGATTGTTGTAAAATTTGTAACTGTTTTCAGTCCTACCAAGGACTACTTAGGTTAAATTATCAATCACTCCTTTTCATTAGGACAATATATCAATAACGTGAAGACCTCTGAATCAGTTCCCATAAATAAACATAAAGGATCAAGATGTGATATAAATAACTATAGAAACATCTGCTTACAAAATCAACTTGCAAAAATCATAGATATGGCATTCAACATTAGATTAACAAATTTTATTGAATCTCAAAATCCTCTAGGTACTTTCCAACATCACTTTTGACAAAAAAAAACAATAACTTCAGCCATTTCAGAGTTATACACGCATGTTTATGGCCATTTGAACTCAAAGAATGCTTCAATTAATCTCTTATAATAATAATAACACTTCATTTCCATAACAACAATATAAAGTTGTATAAGAGGACACAATTCAGGGTTCATGTTTTTCTTGAAAATCAGTTCCAAAACATTAGGAAATACGTAGTGGTTATTAAAAAATTCTGCTAGTATATAATAACAATTTTCTAACAGATATGCTCTCAGTGTTTGTTTGAAATTATACAGTCGATTTAAAGCCTTCACATATTCAGAAAGATTTACTACACATACACACATTTTGAATATATAGAATGACCCAAAACATATAATTTTTGAAATACTGTCTACAAGAATCTCTTTGGGAAATATTTGCCATCGAATCATCGTACAATGCACTTTTTTGAAACAAATACATTTTTTGCTGAAGTTGACCCTCCTTAGTAACATATACTGTATCTAATTCTAGAGTCTAATTCTAGATACTAAATAACAGCTGTAGTCAATACCGATTTTGAAAAAATAAAAAAAGATTTAAGGAATTGAATTTAGATATCAGATGTTGACAATGACTATTCCAATTCAGAAACTCATCCAGATCACTTTTTAAAAATGTTATTTACTTTACATTGAACTGGAGTTTTTGTTCTGGCGATTGTGAGTATAAATAACCTGTGTTTCATCTGTGTTAAAAATAAATTGTGACCATTAAAAAAACTGGATATTTGATTTAATGCATTCAAACATTTATTTTCTGAAATTTTAATATCAGATGCAGAGACAATTATATGATCAAATTCTGTTTGGTACCTCTTCAAATTGAAGGTACTGTAAAGGTACTGCAATATGTGGGGTCATTGAATGAGATGCATTTCAAATCAATTTAGAAACCGATTGGGTTCTATCAGCTGAACTACAAGAACCTTGCTGTTAATATATCAACAAGATGTTGAATAGAAGTTCATGTCAACAAGTCATACAATCAAAATTTTCAGGAACTAAGATGGAGTATTATGCGACTATCACCTCTTATGCTGATGGGCAGGTGGAAAGGCAAAACCGTGCAATACTGAATTACTTATTGAGTTCAACGAGAACACATAGGATAATCTCTTTATTTATTTATTTATTCAATGGCAAAGCCAATTTACAAAAACATATTCAACAAAGTATGAGGAACAACAAAGTATTTTTGAATGCTCATGTCTGATGTCTACATTATAATTTTACAAAACATTTAGCAAAGTGTGAAATACAAAATATTAAAAAATCCTTATATCTATAGTGACTATATTACCAAAAGATGAAACAATTCTGGTACTCACAAGAAAAAAGATGTAACAAATCTGGTACTTACAAAGAAAATGGTAAGGTAAGAAAAGCTTTCAAAACGCTATAGCCTTTTCAGTTGATTTTTAAAGACCTGAAGTGATACATTAAACAGATCTAAGTTATTATGACATTGATTTCCCAGCTTCAAATTACGAGGCATCAGATTGTTCAAAGCATAATTGGTATGGAAAAAATTTATATGAAAAATGTCAACCTTGATAGCCTGGAACATCGGAGAGAAAGATTGGAGATTTGTCTCTCTTCTATACATACTTTCACGGGAAGTGTTCAAGTGACTGCACATTTGATCCCACCAAGAGCGGTACATATCAGAAACACGGGACAGACTGTGGTTGCTCATCATTTTGAGGTTCAACTCAGTACACCTCGAACTTCACTGTTTAAGAACTCTTTCATCTGGAGAACTGCGATCATGTGGAATAAACTTCCTGAGAACGTTTTCCAAATGGATTTAATCTCCAGCGGTTCAAATCCAACGTGAATCGCTGGAGATTCACTTTGGATTTGAATATAATGAGATTTGAAAACAAAACGCTTCAGATGTATTTTATATATATTTTTGATAAGAAGTGCGTTTTAATCTGCGGAAGAGTTTCTGCAGAGTTGCAGTTTCATTCTAAATGTACATGAATTTCAATATATAAATATTTTAAATGTGTTGTTGAATATAAATTGATGTGTTTAATACCTATCAATTATTTGGATCTGTATGTATAACTATACTAAAATTCCATAATAGTAGCCACTAAATTATCAGAATTTTTATTGCATTGATACGAAAACATTGTTGTCAGGTTGTGAATCTATATATTTTTCATCTGATAAAATATATAAAATGGTAAAATATCCAGAATCACAACCTGACAACAATTTAGTGTCTACTATTATGGAATTTTATTATAGTCTGATAAAGTAGGTACATATGTGTATTACCATGTGTTGTAATTGTAACATATTTGTACTGCTTCAACAGATGAATAAATATATTTTATTCTATTATATTTCTACAAAATATAACATCCAATATAAAATAGTAGGTCAAATAGTCTAGTGATCGAAATGACTCATATTATGAAAGGTTTGGTGTTTGTTTCGAATCTAATTTAATTCTTCTTCAGGGCTCTGTAACAATGAATTTTATAAAACATATCTGCCACAAACTATAACTGTCTTTCTTTTCAATCTTGTAAGAAGTTATAATTAAAATAACTCACCTAAAAGGAGTTATTTCATGTTGAAACTATATCAAAAAATTTAAAATTCTTCAGACGTGTTAACATATATGAAAAATAAAAAAACACTGTAGCAAACAAATATTTGAAACTAACAATGACATGAAGCAAACTTTATAGTCATTCCCAAGATCTGCTCCAGGTTACCCGAACAATCTTTTCCTATTCACAAATTTTCCCAATTCTCAAAATTGTCAATGTCAGATTCTCAATTCAACATATCTGCACCTGTAGATATACTTCTTTTTGCTGATAGTTTTGGCTCACTTCACAGGTAAAATTATTTCCAGTGGTGTCGAACAGCTTGTCGCCCTTGAAACCTGTTTTGGTTGAGTGATCATGGGTAAAGTCCCATCTGCATCTCGTAGTAATCACAATTACTCATTTTTTGCTGCCAACGATATTCCTCTCGAAACTTGTGTAACTCAATTCTGGTTAGAACAAGTCCCAAATGCTCTTCCTATTTCTATAAAAGATGAATCTGTTGAAATACATTTCAAGGAAACTTTCCAAATTTAGGGAGATAGTCGTTTTCTGGTTCAACTTCCTTTCAAGTCGGACCTCCCCCCATCGATGGTTCTAGAGAAATTGCTCGCCGAAGGTTTTTTTCATGGGACGTAAACTCATTAACAACCCTAATCTCAGGAAAGAATATAATGTCTTCATGTAGAACTAATCAAATCTTGGTCACGTTGTCTCTCATACATTCTCATAATGTCTCACCCTTTCTTATTATATTCATCACTTTTGTGTTTAAGACCTGATAGTCTTAGCACGAAGCTCCAACTAAAGATCTCAACTCTTCTTGGAGGAAGAAATACTTCGAAATGCGAAGAAAACAAGTTCGACGTTTATTCAATCAAGCTAGAGTAAGGTAATTGTGAGTTTTGACCCAGAACAAAGAAATTAGAAAAGCAAAATGGGTGACCTGGGGAGAGAAAATTCTATAAGAGTGATATTTATATACTTCGTAGCACCACAGGTCACAATATTTTCTCTAGACAGCCGATCGATGAAATTTGATCGAGGAAACGATCTTCTAGAAAAAATTCACTTTCCTGGAAGATTGATACTTGAGGGCGCAGGCACTGTAGATCAACAAAACTCTCTTTACCAGGAAGAGGAACAAGTAAAGCTTTCTGGTGTACAAAACAGGCTTGCCTGGCTATCTTTGGTACCATCAGCATCATACCCTCAGCAAATTTAAAATGCTGCTAGATCTGCCATTTGCGCAGAACATATTTTTGCGGAGCGTAGCGGACTACTAGCTGATACTGAAAGTTACAGCATTCTGTGAATTTTTTCCGACTTAATGTCCCCAACTTCATACAGTTCTGATCCCAAATAGAGAGAACAAGATTCTCGGAGAGGAAGAAATACTGAGAGCAAATAGCTGTTGATTCACAGTTGAACCAAAACCATTGTGTAATTTCCAGTAATCAAGTGTATTCTGCAACCAGTTGAGGTAAACTAATAGAATTAGGCTCAAAAGTTGAAATAAGTAATGTCTGAAAACTCATTAGTCGGTACACGTCTTTCTTTCGCTGATGAAACTTGAGAGGTCAATACTCCGATTGGAAGTTCCAGATGACTAATTTATTGGCGGTTATTCAGCAGATACAACTACTGAAGCTCGAAGTGCTAGGCGCGATTGAAAAGCTTATGCAAAATCAATTTAATGA